CCACATCCTGTTTACTTGTGAAACCGCGCCGTCGTGTTGTTTAGACCAGTGTTTTTCAACCAGTGTGTCGTGGTACGTTAGTCTGCCTTGAAATGCTGTTGGTTGTACCTTTTGGAAATGATCCGATAAGATAGATAGATACTTTATTGATCCCCGTCGGAGAAATTCAGGTGTCCAGTAGCAGCAAGATTTAACAAATAAAATTGATAATTCAAGACAAACGCTAACAATAGTAATAATCAGCAACATCCCTTCAGGTCGCAGCAGCAGAGATGGAGAAGCCGCTGGGTGGAGCAGGACGTGTCACAGCAGCAGAGGTGGAGCAGGACAGGTCACAGCAGCAGAAGTGGAGTAGACTCTGGGTGGAGCAGGACTGGTCACAACAGCAGAGGTGGAGTAGACTCTGGGTGGAGCAGGACTGGTCACAACTGCAGAGATGGAGTAGACTCTGGGTGGAGCAGGACTGGTCACAACAGCAGAGATGGAGTAGACTCTGGGTGGAGCAGGACTGGTCACAACAGCAGAGATGGAGTAGACGCTGGGTGAAGAAGGCTAGAAGAAGAATTAGCCAATGCTAACATATAGCATTAGCAGACCTCTCAAAAACGTCTTTACAGGATGGACCAAAAGTTGGCTCTTGGCCCAAAGCTCCGTTCCACATGTGTGTGGGGGTGAATGTTTTTGTTCCACTTTAGTTTACTTGCTGTGAATTTTTGAAGTCTCTCGTTCAAATGAATGGAGCTTGCGCCGGCTGACGCAAGCGCAGATGCGTTTTTTCACAATTTTCTTGTGGGCGGGACCACTCGCGGCCATTTTTGATTGCTCCAGTAGAGCACAGTTTTTGGCCCATTAGTTTGAACGGCGGAGATAGGCGTGACTCTGTCCGTTAATATATACAGTCTATGGGTGTGCCACGGCTCTAAAAACAAAAAAAGGTTGGGAAACACTGGATTAGAATAATATAGAATAATAGCGGTGAGAGGAGTGAGAAAAGCCTGTTCGTTCTTCTGTGTAGTGTAGCCAATAATTCCCTTTGGCTGACGTGTCCACAATTTGGTACAGAAATCAGACTAAAGATTCTCCAAGGTTAACATCTGCATTTAATTATCTTTACAATCAGATACAGAATATTCAACAAAGGTGCTCCTATTCTATGCCTGCTCTGTCCCTGTGCGTTGCCCCTGTCCTGTCTGACCTCAAAACCCTCCGAGGGCACATATACGGGAGACTTCCGATGACGTCATCCATATGCGTCCAAGGGTGGAGTTTTCCGGGTGTGCTGACGTCCCTTATCCACTGGGAGGCGTCAGAATGCCGTTGGTGAATCTCCCAGTCTGCCTCAAGATCAGGTTCTGAACTTTTGTCCTCGTCAAAATGTTTATTATTTAAAGTTAATAATTCGCCCTGTTTAAACAGCATTTTATCTTTATGACTCATGTCTGATTATCCTGTGTCCTTGGGGTTTTTCCTGAGTGCACAGAGGTCTTTCTGGCTATGATGTTCAAATGGTCAAATATTAAAATATACAACAGTAGTCATGCGCGCATGCATGGAATCTACAGACTGGGACCTTTTCAGAGCTGCCACAGATAGTTTGGATGAATATACGGACACTGTGACGTCATACATTCACTTCTGTGAGGATAGCATCATTCCAACAAGGACCAGGGTCATCTATAACAACGACAAACCCTGGTTCACTGCTAAACTCCGGCAGCTCAGGAAAGCAAAGGAGTCTGCTTTCAGGGAGGGGGACCGCAGCGGCTACAAAGCAGCTAAATATCAGTTCAGGAGAGAACTGAAAGCAGCCAAGTCCCGGCACAGAGAACGACTACAGGAGCAGTTTGGTAACAACGATACTGCTTCTGTCTGGAGGGGCCTACGGGAGATCACCAACTACAAACCCAAAGCCCCCCCTGTGCTGACGACCACAAGCTAGCTGACGATCTGAACTTATTTTTCAGTCGCTTTGATGCTGCCCCTGACACCTCTCCCTCCCCCACCCCCCACTACTCTAACGACCCACCCATCAGCCCTGCCCGCAGCCTAACAATAGCCGCTAAAGAGATTAAACAACTCTTCCTGAGGCTGCACCCCCGCAAAGCTCCTGGCCCGGACCACGTGTCTCCGGCCACTCTGAGACACTGCGCCAGTGAGCTTACTCCTGTGTTCACGGACATTTTCAACACCTCTCTGCAGTCCTGCCATGTCCCGGCCTGCTTCAAATCCTCCATCATTGTCCCCGTCCCGAAGAAGCCCAGGATCACAGGACTCAATGACTACAGACCTGTAGCACTTACGTCTGTCGTCATGAAGTCATTTGAACGCCTGGTTCTCTCCCATCTCAAGTCCCTCACCTCCCCCCTCCTGGACCCCCTGCAGTTCGCCTACAGAGCCAACAGATCTGTAGACGACGCCATTAACCTGGCCCTCCACCACATCCTACAGCACCTGGACTCCCCGGGGACCTACGCCAGGGTCCTGTTCGTGGACTTCAGCTCTGCCTTCAACACAATCCTGCCATCCCTGCTCCAGGACAAGCTCTCCCAGCTCAACGTGCCCGATTCCACCTGCAGGTGGATCACTGACTTCCTGACGGACAGGAAGCAGCGAGTGCGTCTGGGGAAGAATGTCTCGGACTCTCGGATTATAAATACAGGAGCCCCACAGGGCTGTGTTCTTTCTCCCCTGCTCTTCTCCCTGTACACCAACCACTGCACCTCCAGCCACGACTCCGTGAAGCTGATCAAGTTCGCGGACGACACCACCCTCATTGGACTCATCTCCAACAACGATGAGTCCGCCTACAGGAGGGAGGTGGACCGGCTGGTGTCCTGGTGCAGTGGTAACAACCTGGAGCTGAACGCCCAGAAGACAGTGGAGATGATTGTGGACTTCAGGAAGAGCACTGTCCCCCCACCCCCACCCTCCGTGATGGACTCCCCCATCACCTCTGTGGAGTCCTTCCGTTTCCTGGGCACCACCATCACCCATGACCTCAAGTGGGAGCCGACCATCAGCTCCCTCATCAAGAAGGCCCAGCAGAGGATGTACTTCCTGCGGCAGCTCAGGAAAGCCAAGCTGCCTGCACAGATGTTGGTGCAGTTCTACACGGCCATCATCGAGTCCATCCTCACCTCCTCCGTCACCGTGTGGTTCGCTGGAGCCACAGTCAGGGACAAACAGAGACTTCAGCGCATTGTGCGCTCTGCAGAGGAAGTGATCGGCCGCAGCCTTCCATCGCTGCAGGACCTGTACGTCGCCCGAGCTCGAGGCCGGGCTGGTCGTATCACAGCTGACCCCTCTCACCCTGCACATGGACTATTCCAACCACTCCCCTCAGGCAGGAGGCTGCGGTCCATCAGGACTAGAACCTCCCGCCACAAGAACAGTTTCTTCCCCTCTGCTGTTGGACTCTTGAACACTTCTTAACCTGTCCCCCCGCCCTTTATAAAGTCACTTTACTGCCCATCATACGTCACTTTACTTCACTGTACTGCTGTCACCTTACATTGTGTGCACCATGTGCACTTGTATATTGTAAATAGTAACTGTAACTCTATTTTAAATTTAAATGTATTCTTTAGAAGTGTTTTTTATTCTTATTTTTATTATCTCTTTTTGACTGTTGCACTGAGCCAAAGCAATTTCCTAGTCTGTGACCTCCTGTTACTTACGTGGCAATAAAAATGATTCTGATTCTGATTCTGATTACACCCGCTCTCTGATATAACACTCTACAGACTGTGACTTTACTATAAACCCGGCACCTCCACTGCATAATCAAAGCGTATAACAAACCGTAAAAGTCTTGTTATCTACAGTAGCGTAATCCTCCTCCGAGCAGTTAAGATGCGGCTTTGAGATAAAGGAGGTCTCATTAAACCATGATTAAACAAATAAGACTTTGGTTGCATTTGGGCCTCGGGGGGAAATCTCACTAAAGATAAAGCCAAAACATTTTCACAATATTCTCGTGATCATCTCTTTCAATTTTCACATACGTCTTTTTGAGCCATAACAAGTGTCATACAGCTGCAGTTTTGCTAATTAACTGAAAGGCTCAAAATTGTGTGTTTCTGTAAATGAGGAGAGGTTCATGAAGGAGAGGTTTCACTGCTCTGAGAATATTATCGCTGCTTGAGAGGTATTGTTTTTGTCATTCTTGTGCCTTTTGGAAATGCCTGTGGTTTGTTATGATGTTAGAAGTCTGACACCTCATTCATCCTTCTGCTACCTGTGGAATAGAATAGAAGGGAAGAGGTGGATAGTTTTCTACTGTGTTGGTTTTGACGAATCGTAGTTTTAGTGTGAGGGGACAGGGAAGTCAGTGCAGCAAAAAGTGCAAGTGGCTCTGCAAATAAAACAAAAAAACATTTAAATTTTGACTTTTATATAAAAATCAATACTACTTTTTATTGTATTATTATGAGAACCTACCCTCACACTCCACAATTATATTATAATTATAGCACAATTCTGATGTAAATCCATATTAGCTGCATATCACTAGAGATGAGCCAAGATTATTTCAAGACATTTGTATACCTCTGCAGTTGAAATTAGGATTTCTGTATTTCCATGTGAAAGTAACATATGCCAAGCCTTTTTTATTATCATTTAAATTATTATGGATTGCAGAGTATGTCCAAAATATTCTAATGTTTTATTTTTGGGTTTACAAGCTGTGATCCATAATTATCAACATTTTTACAAACAAAGGCTTGATATACAGTATCTTACTTTGCAAGTGATGTCTGTCCATTAGTTTCACATTGTAAACTGGAGTACAGATGCAAATGGGCTTTTGAACCTGAGTTTCACCTTCAAGCATTACCTCCAAAACTAATTAGATTAATCCATGAATCATGAACAAGGCTTGTATCTTTTTCAAAAACCCAGCTGTGAATTCACACTTCAATATCACACAACATTTCTCACTTCGCCGATCGACAGCGAGCCCCTGCCCACTGACCGCCTCTTGTACTTGTATCGTGCAGACTTTGACTGGGGGTACTTCTGGCTCTGGACTCGGTTTGTGGACTACGTGCAGTGCGTGGCGGCCTTCACGCTGGTGGCGGCCTACGTCACGTACTTGCTGCTGGACTCCGCACTCTTCGTGGAGTCTCTGGGGTTTCTGGCAGTGTTCACAGAGGCCATGTTGGGAACGCCTCAACTTTACTGCAACTACCAGAACAAGTCCACAGAAGGAATGAGGTGAGTCCACAGGATTTTCTCTCATTGTATTTTTCTAGAGTGGAAGAAAAGAAACATTTTTGCACACCATTCACTACTATTGAACTTTATTCAACCAGGAAAGTCTTCTCTTTTTTTTCAGGGACTATTGTACCTGATTTTAGTGGTAGCCCCCCCCCCCCAGAGGATATTTACCTAAGCACAGGGAAAACATGCAAAGAAACGAGAGTGCTAACCACTCAGCCAAAGGGCCCTGGAGCGCTGCTTGAAAAGGATATATTTTTAGATACAATGTTGATTTGTGTGTAGGTACATTGAGATATAATGTAAGCATAATTTTTTTTTACCTTATATTTAATCTTCCTAATAGCAATTCATCTTCAATAATTATGAAATATTGCATGAAAAGTGTGCTTTTTATGCATCAACAAGTTCATTGTTGCTGACGGGGGCGGAACCTATATATGTTAATTAATCATATTGAAATCATAAATCATCATATACAGTGCCTTGCGAAAGTATTCGGCCCCCTTGAACCTTTCAACATTTTGCCACATTTCAGTCTTCAAACGTAAAGATATAAAATTTTAATTTTTTGTCATGAATTAACAACAAGTGGGACACAATCGTGAAGTGGAACGAAATTTTTTGGATAATTTAAGCTTAAAAAAAAAATAAAAAACTGAAAAGTGGGGCGTGCAATATTATTCGGCCCCTTTACTTTCAGTGCAGCAAACTCACTCCAGAAGTTCAGTGAGGATCTTTGAATGATCCAATGTTGTCCTAAATGACTGATGATCGCCCGAGCTCGAGGCCGGGCTGGTCGTATCACAGCCGACCGCTCTCACCCTGCACATGGACTATTCCAACCACTCCCCTCAGGCAGGAGACTGCGGTCCATCAGGACTAGAACCTCCCGCCACAAGAACAGTTTCTTCCCCTCTGCTGTTGGACTCTTGAACACTTCTTAACCTGTCCCCCCGCCCTTTATAAAGTCACTTTACTGCCCATCATACGTCACTTTACTTCACTGTACTGCTGTCACCTTACATTGTGTGCACCATGTGCACTTGTATATTGTAAATAGTAACTGTAACTCTATTTTAAATTTAAATTTATTCTTTAGAAGTGTTTTTTATTCTTATTTTATTATCTCTTTTTGACTGTTGCACTGAGCCAAAGCAATTTCCTAGTCTGTGACCTCCTGTTACTTACGTGGCAATAAAAATGATTCTGATTCTGATTCTGATGATAAATAGAATGCACCTGTGTGTAATGAAGTCTCCGTATAAATGCACCTGCTCTTTGATAGTCTCAGGGTTCTGTTTAAAGCACAGAGAGAACCATGAAGACAAAGGAACACACCAGGCAGGTCCAAGATACTGTTGTGGAGAAGTTTAAAGCCGGATTTGGATACAAAAAGATTTCCCAAGCTTTAAACATCTCAAGGAGCACTGTGCAAGCAATTATATTGAAATGGAAGGAGTATCAGACCACTGCAAATCTACCAAGACCCGGCCATCCCTCCAAACTTTCATCTCAAACAAGGAGAAGACTGATCAGAGATGCAGCCAAGAGGCCCATGATCGCTCTGGATGAACTGCAGATAACTACAGCTGAGGTGGGAGAGTCTGTCCATAGGACAACAATCAGTCGTGCACTGCACAAATCTGGCCTTTATGGAAGAGTGGCCATTTCTCAAAGATATCCATAAAAAGTCTCTTAAAGTTTGCCACAAGCCACCTGGGAGACACACCAAACATGTGGAAGAAGGTGCTCTGGTCAGATGAAACCAAAATCAAACTTTTTGGCCACAATGCAAAACGATATGTTTGACGTAAAAGCAACACAGCTCATCACCCTGAACACACCATCCCCATTCCACAATTGTGTCCCACTTGTTGTTGATTCATGACAAAAAATTAAAATTGTATATCTTTATGTTTGAAGCCTGAAATGTGGCAAAATGTTGAAAGGTTCAAGGGGGCCGAATACTTTCGCAAGGCACTGTATGTTCCACGAGTGGTTAAATGTAGCCCCTTCACAGAAACCCATTCTGTGCAGATATACAATAAACAGGAAAATCAGTGCACACTCATTAAAAAGCCTTAACTGCTGCAGAATCAATAGCCAAAACTGAGTTACTCAATTTTCTACAGCTCAAAACATAGTATTATAAAAGAGAAGAACAAAGACATATCTCAGTTATTGCAAATAACGACTAATACTGAGCCCCAAAATAGAGTACAGCTCTTTCTTTCATTGTTGTGAAGGATAAGTCGATATAGTAATTTTTATGAGGCTCTGTCTACACCCTCCACAGTATTAAAATCCATTCATTCACCAGACTTCAGAATTATTGTTCATATTACCTATAATGATCTATGTATGTATGTGTGTGTATGTGTGTGTGTGTGTGTGTCTACTCGATAATCTATGGATTTTTGTCCAAATTATTATTTGTGCGGAAACAGCACAGTTTATTGGCTTTTTGTCAATTATCTTTCCTATGTAATGAAAACAAAAAGCTAGTTCTGAATTTGTGTATGTATTTATTTCAATGAGCCACTTCTTATTGAAGAATAAATGTGTTGCGGTTAGCGCTTCACTGCAAGAAGGTACCGGGTTCAATTTCACCTCCAGACCTCTGTGTGGAGTTTGCATGTTCTCCCTGTGTCTGGGTAGCTTTCCTCCAATTTTCCCTTCCACTAATAACATGTGACGTACAACAGTCCCCTGTAACTTCCTCGCCGACCACCTCCCTGATCCTCTCCCACCCCGTCTCTCTGGGGCCAGAACTCCCATTAAAAAAAATGCAGTAATCTCCAGCTTTCTTTGCTAAACAAAGGTCAAAACATGCCGTATTGTGGCCATCTGTATAGTCCCAAGGTGCTGGGGTCACCTTGCATGTACTGTATGAGTTATCTTTGAAACCACATTATTGCACACACATCCATCTATTGCACTCATTTACATACAGTATAATCAACTGTTGTCAGTCAGACAGAGCAGCTGGAAACATCCCGGCTGGTTAGATCATGCCTGTATAATCAGGTCATTAATCATTCATTTTTCAGTGTTTGTATGAAAATGAGCGGCCTCTAATGACAGGACGTCAGGAGTAGACATTGTGCGAGTCTTCTGCATGTGTCGGAAATAACTTGGCAGCATTATTCTAGTTTCTGTTAGACATGAACACAAAATATCCGCTGTGAGTCAGAGGGAGTCTGTCAGAACCAGGCATCACTATTTCAGTCAGTGTTTTTGAAATTGTCAATGCAAAACTTTATCTTGGCAACATGTGTGAGAATGTATTTTGGTAATGTGCTTATTTTAGTTCAGTTTGCCTTTTGTGTGGTGTTAAACATTGAAGATTAGCCTTCTGTATGTGTAAATCTGTTCAGCTGGAGCAGTCATGTAAATCAGCCAACATTTGTTTGGCAGAGCTGGGGAGATGCCATTTTTCGCTCTTGCCTGTCTGTCATGTGCTTTTGCTCGGAAAAATATTCAGAAACAGAACTTCTCATTATGGAGAGAGCAACGACAGAATGTGCCCGTGATAATTCGCCAAATATCTTTCCTGCAGACGCAAATTTTCAAAATGTATTATTCGAGCTACATTTCAAATATTAGAAATCGCTTAAGCTTGGTGGTAATTTAGTGCTACAATAGGGCAAGTGAGATTCAGTTAGACTTGTTCTTTTGTTTTCTCATTATATTCGACACAACAGCCTAATTAACAACTACAATGCCATGTTTTATTATTCATAATGTTGTATTATTATTAATATTTAGTGGGTGCACAGTTTCAAGACATTGTCCATGTTGCACAATATACACAAGAAAATACGCAATATACATTCATAAAACTATCACATAACAATAAAACAAACAAACTATTGAAGCACGTGGTTCCTAATTTTCAGACCACAACAAATGGAACTTTGCAATATACCTCCCCCGCTTTAAAACAGTTTGGTTTTATTGAGCAAGGATGAGCCTTTTCAGGCAGAAAAGTGAAAAAGAGAGGACCACCATCATTCAGCCAATCAACTCTCAGCCCAAAGCAATACAGCCCCCCTGGAGATAACTTTTTTATGACTATGTATCAAAGTCAGATCCCGTCAGACCTCTGAAGCTATGGAGGGCAGAGCCTGGTTAGTACTGTGATGGGAGACCTCTTGGAACACCAGGTGCCACTGTGGGGCGGCTGCAGCTGAAAAATGCCACACTGTTGTTGTGTCCTTAGGCAAGACACTTCACCCACATTGCCTAGTATGAGTCTGGTGTGTGTGCCCATGGTTGGTGGTTTGCTTCTGTCAGTATGCACCAGGGCAGCTCTGGCTACAGAAGTACTTTATCACCATCGTGTAGGGAGTAAATAAAGACTTGTGATTCGTATTTGAATATCCAGACAAAGCACTGCATAAAACTGATGGATTATTATTATTATTCTGTTTGAATCTATAAATGTACAATGTTTTGAGCCAGTTGGATAGCATTAAGTCATTCATATCTCCCTAAACAACATCGAACGTAACCAAATATCCCCCCTGACTGAAGAACCTCATCTATCTTTTGCTGATGGAGGTTATCTCAGGAGTGCAAAGTGTCGCTGTAACATCTGAACTGTCAGTCAGATGTAAATCAAAACAAAGTTGCTCACGTTGTCGACAAATGACAGTGTCCTGTCTGTGATGAGCTGTTATTTATGAGCCTTCTGCGGCGCGCACCGGAGTAATGGCTGCCGATTAGCTCGTCTCACATCTGAGCATTTGACTCCGACAGCTGCCTATTAAGGCTTTCTAACATGAGTCTCGCAGGAGGCCAGTACAAGGACAGTTATTTATTACCCTAACGTGGCAATTTGCCTTCTGAAGTTTCTCGGAAAATCGATACGATAATGAGCCGTTCACTCATGCAATCACGCACATGCATAATTTCGGCTGGTTATTGTTCGGGCTGCGTTTGAGGCTGTGACAGGAAATAGATTTTGAGCATGTGCAGATCGATGTATGTTT